GCCTGGGGTGCAGCCACGTGTCCGGGGGGGCTCTGGCTCTGCATGTCCCAGGGACACCGGGTCCTTCTGCCATGGCCCTCTCCAAAAAAGCCCAACACAGCATCTCAGAGCAGAGCTGGGGACTCTCAGACTCCTCCTTGGAGCAGCAGCTTGTGCCAACCATCCCCCTCTCACCCACTCCCAGCCCCCCCAGCCCCCCCAGCATCCTGAGCCCCAGGGACCCCGAGGGGCCGGTTCCTGCCGGACGCCCCCCCTGCTGCTGCCTCTGCTTCCCCTTCCCTTCTCCCTTTGAGCTCCTTTCATCTCTCCCCAGCACGACAGCCCGGGGGAAGTTTGGGCTGGGCTGGGAGACCCTGCTGGGCCCAGCTGGGGTGGGGGGTGACAGGACAGGGGTCCTGCCTTGCCCCCCGGCTGGGGAGGAAGGATGCGAGAGGGGAGCTGGGGGCTCTTCCACCAGCATGAAGGCAGCAAAGCTATTTCTGGTGCTTTCCAGCTGGTCTGAGCAGTTCCTGTTGAAGCTGGGGAGTGTGGTGGCCTCTGCTCCAGCCTGCTCAACCTCTTGTATCCCTCCACGGGCAAGAACAGGCCCCCTGGGGGGAGGCAGCATCCCAGCAGCCAGGAGGGATGCTCCCCAGGGCTTTGGAGCAGAGGGTCTGGGTTTGGTGGGGTATCCATGGTCGGGTCCCCCAGCCATGCTGGGCACGCACTGGGTTTACCCCCAAGAGCAGGAGGAAGGAGGTACCAGCTCAGAGACATGCAGGACCCTTCTCCATCCCCCCAAATCCATCTCCCCCTTGCATGAGTGACCCATGTCCCTCCATGTCTCTGTGTCCATGGGAAACACGGCCAAGGGAGCAAGGAAGAGACCTGAGATGGAGCATCAGATGCCACTTGGGCACCTCCCACTGCCATCCCCAGACACATCACAAGTGGCTCAGAGCATCATTTGCTCCAGACATGCTGCCAGCAAACACCCACCCCCAGGACAGCAAAGCTCCTGATCCCCCCCCAGGGCTCTCTCTCCAGCTGGTGCTCGGGCAGTGAAGGGATCCACACGTTTGCTGGAAGCAGGAGCAAATCTGGAGGTTTCTTCCCCCAAGTTCACAGCCCCCAGGGCTGGGGTGTGTGTCTGGGCATCCAGGACATGGAGCCAGGCCATGATGTATCATGTCCTCCCCTGCCTGCCAAGCTCCATTCCCAGTCCCTGCTCCCCCTCATTAAATGGAAAGCCTGGGAAGTCCAGAGGTGCCTTTGCTTCTCCTTCAGACAACTCTTTCCAGCCAGCAGTTCTGTCGTCCTCTCCCCACACTTGGCCAGTAAATGACAGGGATGTGGAAATGTCTTATGGAAACAGGCTGAGAGAGCTGAGGTTGAAAGCCTGGAAAAATGAAGGCTCCAGGGAGACCTTAGAGCAGCTTCCAGTGCCTGAAGGGGCTCCAGAAAAGCTGGGGAGGGACTTGGGATAAGGGCAGGGAGGGATGGGATGAGGGGGATGGATGAAAAGTGGGAGAGGGAGATGGAGGTTGGACATGAGGAGGAAATTCTTTGTTGTGAGGGTGGTGAGAGCCTGGCCCAGGTTGCCCAGGGAAGCTGTGGCTGCCCCATCCCTGGGAGTGTTGAAGGGCAGGTTGGATGGGGCTTGGAGCAGCCTGGGCTGGTGGGAGGTGTCCCTGCCCATGCAGGGGGTTGGGGCTGGATAATCTTCCAACCTAAAACATTCCATGATTCTATGACACCTTGCACACCCCTACATGGAACCCCACACACACAAGTGGAAACCTCCTGGGGACTCCCCGAGCAGAGACAGACTCTGTGGGTGGGTGGCACAAGGACAGAGCAGGGATGCAGGAGCCTCTCTCCTTGCTGCTCCCAGTCCCAGCTGCTTCTATGGAATGCAGTTCCATTCCCTACTCTCCCCTCTCCCTGAGCCTTGGCAGAGCCAGGGATGCCTGTGAGAGGATGGGGAAGGGGTGGGGATGTGGGGATCCCTGTGTGTGACAGCCCCCAGGACCCCTCAGTCACACTGGGCCACGTGTGGGTCACGTTGCTGAGCAGCCACCTCGTGCCAGGCTTATCTGGGGCTTGCTCTGGCAGAGGAGCAGGCTGTGCAGGCATAGTGCCTGCTGCCCTGCCCCTCTGTGCCTCAGCCAGAGGGAATGTCCCTGCTCCATGTCTTGTCTGCTGTAGGGACGTGGTCTGGGAATCACATAGAATCCCAGACTGGTTTGTGTTGGGAAGTACCTTAAAGATCATCCAGCCCCAACCCCCTGCATGGGCAGGGACAGCTCCCACCAGCCCAGGCTGCTCCAAGCCCCATCCAACCTGCCCTTCAACACTGCCAGGGATGGGGCAGCCACAGCTTCCCTGGGCAACCTGGGCCAGGCTCTCACCACCCTCACACCAAAGAATTCCCTCCTCATCTCCAACCTCAATCTCCCTCTCCCACTTTTCATCCATCCCCCTCATCCCATCCCTCCCTGCCCTTGTCCCAAGTCCCTCCCCAGCTTTCCTGGAGCCCCTTCAGGCACTGGAAGCTGCTCTAAGGTCTCCCTGGAGCCTTCTCTTCTCCAGGCTGAACACCCCAACTCTCCCAGCCTGATTCCCACCTCCCATCGCTCCCCATCTGCCTGCAGATCTCTGTGACATTGTCACCACTGCCCAGGACCAGTTGCCATTGCTGCCTGTGGATCTCTGGGGACACGAGCAGCTCTCCCTGAGGTCTGCCAGGCAGGAGTGGCCACACACGTGTCCTGCTGGGGCCCCAAGTCCTCCCGAGGCTCTGATGACTCTCTGCACCCAGCCCCGACTTCCTCAGTGCTTGGGTTGGTGCCACAGTGAGGAACAACACCACAAAGCCACCATTTGAGCTTTTGGTGCTGTAAACATGTTCTTAGCATAAATATTGAGCATCTAGCAACAAGTTGGGAGCAACTCGAGGCATTTCAGATTCAAAGAACACTCCTTAGTGGCATTTTCTGCCCCATTTGCAAACTTGGATGTTCTTTGGCCACTGTTGTGTTTAAGGTACAAAAAAAAATCACCTCAAATCTTATTTACCAACTGCTGGGAATTGCTGGGGAAAGAAGGAAAAATGCAGGGATAAGTGAATGAGAGAACTGGCAAAGCTGAACCCTTCTTGTGGAGGCTGTGAAGCTTCTCAGTATGAATGCAGGCTACAAAAAGTCAGAGGAAAATCTCCTGACACTGAATGATCAGGCAAGAAACGGGCTGAGAAGATTTCGGGTGGGTATTGAGTGAGAAAAACCCACCTGGGATGGGAGGCTCTAACTTAATATTGCTCCTAGGAGAGGTCCTGGGCTGAGAGCAGGAGTGACTCTGGAAGGCTCTGTTTGAGGCTCAGAAGCAGCAAGGGAAGGTAAAAAAAACCAAAAGACTGAAGTTGTCAGGAAAATGAGAGGCACGAGCTCGGCAGCGTTGCTGTGTGTGTCTGCAGCCCTCCCACTCCTGAACCCATCCCCACGGAGCCAGGGATGCAGGAGGACCAAAGAAAAAATAACAACCCCAAAAGCAATAACAGGGTGAGAATCCCTGCAGTGCCACCGAGGGGCTGGGAGAGGAGGGTTTTCCAGGCTGGGAAAATCGCACCTGGGGAGGAAGTTGGGAACAGCCTGTGGAATTTGGGGTGGTGGGAGGTGTGGGAAGGGCTGGTGGGTTTGTCCTGTGCTTCCCCCCTGCCTGATGCTCCTTTACTGAGCAGCCTGGGCTGGACACAGCTGGGGGAAATCTCCCCAAAGCAACAAATCTCTGGCCTGATCCAGAGTGTTTGGGGACACAGGTCACTCCAGAGCAGTTAGTTGATCCTGACACAGGTGCCTCCTGTCCCCGTCTCCCTGTCCAGGAAGGGGATTCCTTTCCCAGGAAGGGTCCTACACCCACTGGGGTCTGGACAGCAGCAGGGGGTTGGGTCCCTTTTGGGGGAGAACTCTGTGCTGATGAAGGGTCGTGGACCTCTCCAGCAAACGGGCTGGAGCCAGTGTCTGAATTACAGAGGGATCAATGGGGTGACAAGAGCTGTGTGGGTGCTCAGCTGTCCTGGGCTGGACAGTAGGATCCTTCCTGGAGCAGATGTGCCCAGCAAGGGTGTCTCTTAAACCTGGGCATGTCCCTGAACAGAGCCAGGGGGACTGGTGAGAGCAACTGCACAGTGAGGGGCCGAGCCTGGACACACAAGCTGCACTCGAGTGACGCTGACAGGGGGTGTCACATCCCCTCCAGCTCCACTGACACCCCCAAGTCCCACTGAGGCTGCCTCCCCCCAGCCCCGGGGGTTGCAGCACCACAACAGCAGGGCAGGAACCAGCCACGAGGTGGTTAAGCATCTCCTCCTGGAGCAGCAGAGTTCACACAAAGTGCATCCCCCCCATTTATGCCCCACGGTATTTGCCGTGGGCTTGGCTCTGAGAGCAGCTCCACAGGGTGAAAAGAGGGAAGACAGAGAGAGGACTCATGTGTGGGGCAGCCTCATGGCCAGATCCTGCCTGAGCCTGCCCCACCAGACATGCTGGGCTGTCATCTCTGGTCCCTCAAAACCCCAAAGCTGTCCCACACGTGGCCATGAACAAGCAGGTTAGAACCCCCGGGCTCCTGGGCTCCCCATGGCAGGGAAATCTGGGCTGAAGACAAATCCATCCCCTCCCCAGTCCCTGGAGCACAGTGACGGGGATGGGGGGGTGTGGAGGGGTGGTTTCTCCCATGTGTTGTGGGACACCCTGTGCCCCAGCCACAGGGACCCCCAGGAGGGCTGTGCTGACCTGCTTGCCAGCTGCCACAGTGCAGACCCTGCCTGCACACCCAGCACTCCCCTGGACCCCCAGGTAAAGCTGCTCAGGGAACCCCCCAGCCCAGCCTGCCCTGGTGGCTGCCACAGACAGAGCTGGCAGCCTGGAGGAAGACCTTGCTCCCAGTGCTTCCCCAGGAGTTTGGAGCACCCTCAGTCCCTTCTGACCCCCCCAGCAGCCACCACAGAGCTGTTCTCCTACCTGACAGGGATCTTGACCCGCAGGTATCGGTCCACGGCGATGGCCAGCAGGGCCAGGATGGAGCTCTCCGTGAGGATGAGGACGGGACAGGCCACCATGAGGCAGCTGTAGAACTCGGTTTGGGGTCCGATGTTGATGATGATGGCCAGGGGGATGACCAGGGCCCCCACGGCCACGTCGGCCACCGCCAGCGAGACGATGAAGCAGAAGGTGGCATCTCGCAGCGCCTGGTTCACCTTCACAGCCCAGATGACCAGGATATTCCCCGGCACCGACACCAAGGCGATGAGGACCTCGATGGAGATGTAGGCAGCCTGGAAGGCTGACACGGGGTGTGCCATGACGCTCGGGTCCCCTCCCGGCTCCCGCTGGGCTCCCTCGCTCACCTGCAGGGGCGGAGGGCGATGATCAGCGACCGGCACCGCTCCCTGCGCTGCGGGATGGATGGACCGTGCGGGGGGGGTGGGAAAAAACCCCCACAATCCCTCTCCTGGCTGCGCCGTCCCCTGGG